GACCCCCCCGCCTATCTCTTCGGCACCATCCACGTGCCCTACACGCGGGTGTGGGACTTCATCCCCAACAACTCCAAGGCTGCCTTCCACGCCAGCTCCAGCGTCTACTTCGAGCTGGACCTCACCGACCCCTACACCATCTCGGGACTGGCCAGCTGCCAGATGCTGCCCCACGGGGAGAACCTGCAGGACGTGCTGCCCCGGGAGCTCTACCGCCGCCTCAAACGCCACCTGGACTACATCAAGCTGATGCTGCCCCACTGGATGACCCCGGACCAGCGGGGCAAAGGGCTCTATGCCGACTACCTCTTCAACGCCATCGCCGGCAACTGGGAGCGCAAGAGGCCTGTCTGGGTGATGCTCATGGTGAACTCCTTGACGGAGACGGACATCCGCTCCAGAGGGGTGCCGGTGCTCGATCTCTACCTTGCCCAGGAGGCCGAGAGGATGAAGAAGACAACGGGTGCGGTGGAGAGGGTGGAGGAGCAGTGTCACCCGCTGAACGGGCTCAACTTCTCCCAGGTAAGGAGGCTCCTGGGCCTCATGGCTTGTCTATCTCAGAGGTTGGGGCCATTCTACCTGCATTTAGAATGGTTTATGGAGTGAACTCCAAACCTGGCAGAGGGATGGGTCACTTCTGGCCCTCAGCAGCCTGGCTGTCAGGCTGCCCGCCCTCCCTTGTGCCTGCAAAAATCCTGCCGTGTTCCCAGCAAGTTTATCATGTGTTTTATTTATTTGAGAGGCAAACACCCAGGGTGTGAATGTGTGTGTCTCCTTGCCAGTCATGAGGGAAACTTACACACCTCCTGTCCTGTTCCAGAGTTGGGTAAAACATTTGGGTTTTTTTTGTTGTTTGTTTGTTTGTTTTGAAATAAAGCAGCTTGTGGTACTTGTCAGGAGGAGGATGAAGCATGAGCAATGAAAAAAAGAAATTTTGACAATGTTCAAATAGATTTAAGTATGTGCAAACTGTCAGTCGTCTTTTAAGTAGTCACTCCAGGTCAAAACAAATTGGTTCACATTGTCTTCATCTGCTGAGGGAAATTAAGTGTTTAATCTACAGAGATTTTTTTTTCATTTTAGAACAGGTAAAGTTCAGCAAAAAGAAAAGCATGTAGTTAGAAACAAAAGTTATTGGTGTAACTGAACTCCAGAATTCTTTCGGTGGATTTACCTTTAAACAACACAATACTAAGCCATGCGATCTATTTCATTTTGGTGGATTAATCAGGAGCACAGGCACAGCTATTGACTTTGCTTTGTGGAAGTGTTTATACGAAATCAGATTTACTAGAAATTCAGGAAATGAATGTGTGTGGAAGAAAACAAATATTCCAGGGGAAATTTACGATGGTGTCAGTTACTGCTATGATATTTACTTGTGAACCTGCTTTCCCTCATTACTTTTGGACCAGTTATTTCCAGCTTTATCTTACTGGCCTAGTTTGAGAAAAAAAAAAAAAAAAATAAAAAAATCTTGGTGATGAGGGAATAAGGATTAAAGGACTGATCTTTGGTGTGATTAAAATGTCCTTAGAGTGCCTTCACCCTCTTCTCCCCTGAAGTCTAGTGGGAACTGTTTTCAGTGTAAATAAGGCTCTCACTAATACTGGCTTCATGTGGTGTCTCACCTAGAAGTTTAACTCTGCATACAACCTTCAGAGGAGAAGATTGGTTGCACACACTTCTGGAGGGATTTTCTTGTTTATCAACAAAAATAATTAAAAGAAAGCCCCTCAGGACCTTTGCATTAATTAACACATCCTCAAAACCAAGGAATTCGTTTTACCCTGTTCTGTTTGAAAGGTTTAAATACCTGTCCTCTCTGTTGAATCCCTTCTTTAAGGTGAGGTAAAAATAATTAGCTATGCTTGACATCCAGTAGTATTTGATTGTATTTGGTCAAAAATGACAGAATCAAACACATCAAAGCATTTGGTTAAAATGTATCACTTAGAAGCTTTTTAAATGTGAATCATATTACATTTTTTTCTTGTTAGAGAGAGTGACAAAGAAAGGAAAAAGGACAGAGTATGAAACCCACTGCTGCTCATACCATAATTCTGTTCTTCTCTCATTCACTATATTTTTAATAGAAACAAAAATTTCCCCTAAACGGCAAATGTTTTACTGCTCTTGGCAAGTAAAGGACAATAATTTACGCAAAAAAAAGTTTGTGCTGATTTAAAAAATAGCTTACATTTTAATTCTTACAGAGAATTGACAATGATGCTAAATTAGATGAGTGTTCAGGAGCACTTCTATATTGCAACTTTTTTTCTGGGAACAAGGCCACCAGAACAACATGAGACAAAATTAAATTAAACAAAACAAACCAGATATTTATTTTCTTGCTTCCTCTAGATCTCATGCATCCTGACACCTGGCTAGTTGTTTAACAATAGTAATTTGTAATGTTATCACACTGTCTGGCAGTCCTACTGCTTGGTGTATTACTGTGCTAATTTAGTGGAGTGGATTACTATTGCTAAGCTTTGCCTCCCAATTCCAGGTCTTGGAGCCTTCCTTAAGCAACACATAATTAAAACACACTAAAATGGAAATCAGAAATTAAGCAGTTTTGTCTGATAGGGTGTTTGCACAGTTTGATGAGAACATCTGTGATAAATTACAGTCCCAAATCTGCTAAGGGCATCAGCAGTTTTTACCTGCTTTCAGCATTACAGTTACAGGAATACTGCACATAATTTCTGCATTCAGAATTCAAGTTTTAAAGCTGTGCTTTGCTGAATCATGTCAATACTTTTGTTTCCCCTATCCCAAAGTCCAGTGGTTTTGTCCTTAGGAAATTAAAAAAGAATTATTTTTATTTTATTTTATTTTTTTACTTCTTCCCCTCAAAGGCAGCTTTGTGCTACTGCAAATATTTAATCTGACTACACGCACCAAATCTGTTAATCTGATACTGTGAGGAGGAGGAAATCTAGGAGTGGTCCCGGTGTGGTACTTGGTTTTGATCTGCGGATACACTTGCATTTTTGACTAGGAACGGTCTTTGAAACGTTCTGTGCGTGGCTTTGAAATGTTGATTGTCTTAGCTGGATGAAAAGATTAAGGTGGCTCATATAATTGGCTGCTTCCTGGAGAGCCAGCTCTTGCAGGTAGAGCACAGCACATTGTTTTCTATTGTAAAGCCAGAAACTTTGTAGTTTGATGCTCTGCTCCCTTTGAAAGCTCTGCTCAGTGTTTTCTGTCACTCTCCCAAACTGGTTCCCCATGGATCGCCCTGCTTTCCCACTGGCCAGCTGCTTTCCTGCACAGCTGGCAGAGGGAGCATCCTCATTCCCCGGGGACTCTGGCAGCTGCTGGTCACACAAAGTCCAGGCTCTGGGTATTGTATAGCTGGTGGCAAGGTGTCTGCATTGCAGCAAAAGGATGGGTTGGGATCCTGGCAACAGGGAATTGAGATCAGGTTTGGGTCGACTCATCACTCCTTGGTATGTGAAGTTTCAGGGTTTTAATTGGTGGTGAGACAGGAGGAGCTGAGAGGCCCTGCAAAGAAGAAACAGACAACTTTTTGGTCTGACAGCATGGATATTTAGAGAATGACCTGAAAAATGCAAAATCAAGTGAGCCAGGACTGACAACAGCTGGTGAGAGGCAGGTGGAATTCCCTTCTTGTGTTGGGATGCCAGCATGGGCACCGCAGCCAGCACCATGACAGGCTGTGAGTCCATGTGTCCTTTGTGACCCTCACAAAACTCTGTGGTGAAAAGCTCTCCCCAGGCTGACATGTATTGCTGTTGGAGCAAGGACGATGGTGACGATGAATCCTACAGCTACTCAGGTCTGTTTATGTTCACGCTGCACACCCAGGACTGTGGTGGGGACCCAATCAGCGCCCTCAAGCAACATCATCTTCTCACTAAAAGTGGTCAGCCAAGGGGAAGGTCTTACTCCTCTTCCCAAACCCCTCTGCCCTTGGGAGGTGGATGGTAGCTCTTTCTCATGTTTGATCCTGTCTCTCAGCAGGATCCCCAGACTGAGGCAGTGTTGATATGCCTCCCTTCTTGGAAATAAAATACCTCTCCCATTCCATCCCAAGCTTGCTTTCTTCAGGGAGAATCTGCATTCAGCCCATGCCAGATGCCATGAATCCCAGTGTTTGCGAAGGGAATTCTGTGTCAGGGCTGGACTCCATCCTGACTTGTCTGTGGGGAAGCCATCAGTTCAGAGGGAAGACCCCAGAACCCCCTTTTCTCTCCCTCTGCTGCTGGGGGCTTGTGAAGCCCTGACTCAGGTCTTCTCCGGTCAGTACCATTTCCAACTGCAGGGGGAGATGTTAAATATCAAACCTGTGTTGATTGGATCAGGGACAGCCTCAAAGAAAGAAACCTTAAACTGTGCCAGATTAAACTTCACACTTCACCATTCTTCCCCTTTCATTTCTTTGCCGCCTCATTCTCTGCACAAATAAACCTGTCTCCCTGCTTTCTACCAATGAGACAGCATTCAAGGGGCTGGAATTACTTTGTTAACAAAATCAGGCTTCATTTCCCAGGTCCTGCTGTTCCATCAAACCCTGGGACATGGCAGCTTTGATTACTCTAGTGATAGGATTAGAGGGGGAACAAGTGCTGGTTAATAAAAGGCTGATGGGTGGTCCATCACGTTTGGTCACTGACAGATCTGCAGCCCTGGAGCTGGACCTTCCATGGCAAAACAGCATGACAGTAATATATAGACAGGGCCATGGCCTGGAGCTACTATTCCATCTCTCCTGTCCCCTTGAAAACTTAAACATTTCTGTGATCACAAAGCTGGGATTCTTGGAGCTGACAGGGACTGGTATGGATGACATTCAAGAGATACTTGCCTGTTTAATCTAATGAGAGATGCAGGTTCAGAGTTTTCTGAACTGCATTAAAGGGCTGTTGCAGAACTAGTTGAGTTCTGTCAATCTGTAATTTATTTAAGAGAGTATTATTTATTGTTTTAAAATTTTATTTTTTAATATGAAAAGTTTTTTTTACCTAAAAGAAATTGTCCCTTTTTGCTGTTAACAATTTCAGGCTTAATGAAAAGGGCAAGAGCCATAAAATATAGCTTAGTGTCATCTGTTTTGGTTGCTGAATATTGTTGAAAGAAATATTGTTAAAAGGTTTGATTATACATAGTTAGACACAGAGCACATACTTTTCAGCTTGCTGGCTTTAACTGAACTATCACCTCCTTCACCCCCTCACACCCTATGGTAAAAAAATTCCCTCAGCAAAATTAACCTTGGGGTAGAAATTCATACAGCAGAAATGGAAAACTTTCCATTTAGCTCCCTTTGAATGCCAGTGGAGATGCCTTACATCTTTACCAGGGGAACTGCTGAGGGTGAAACTATGCAGGCATTAAAACTGCAGTAGTCACAGTGACACCTGAAAGGATCAGCAGCTGCTGTTTTATAGCTAAAACTAACTGTACGTGTTGCTCTTTACAGCCAGTTACTGCGTGCTTCTTCACCACAGCCTCCTTGAAAAGCCCACCCTGGCATTAAGAAGAAAGCCAGT